GTACACTGTTAAACACAGAATGCAGAATGTTGGATCTGGAAGGACCTTAGAGACCATCTAATCCAAGGACTCTGAACCCTAGAGTTATGACCTCCGAGGGTCTGTGGATAGGTTCCTGGGACCTGTCCATGAACTCGGCTGGCACACTGGGCCTAGAGTCAGGAAGACCTGAGTTCAGATTCAGCCTCAGATATTTACTAGCTATACGACTCTGGGCAGTTAAACTCTGCCTCAATTTCCTCATGTAAAATGGGGATAAGAATAGCACATCTCAGAGCTGTTGTGGGATCAAATGATACAGTGTTTGTAAATTGCTTAGCACAGTGCCTGGCATGTAGTAGGTGCTTAATAAATGCTTGTTTCTCTCCCTCCCATTAACCTCTAAATGAAATTTTCCATTTCCTTCCATTATGAAACTAGGCAACAAACTATGGCAGCATTAGCAGCACCTGTGACTGCGTCACCAGTAGAAATCACAGATATTTTCATCTATTACAGTTGTTGCAGATCTCATCACTACCTTGAAATCACTGTAGTTATTAGACCCACTGCGAGACTGCACATGATTGCAGTCTTCCTGTCTACAGACTATATTTCATATAATTGGTTTCCCTTGTAATTCTATGTATTTTATTTTATGCATTAAAAAACATCATTCCAAGAGGGGGCACGTCGGTTTCATATGCACAAAGAATGTTAAGAATTCCTGATCCAGCCTAACCTCTCATTGTGCAGGTGAGGAAGCTGAGGTCAGGCAATTTGTAGTGTGTGGTAGAGAGGTCACTGGGGTCCTGAATTCAAATCCTTGTTCTGCCTGTGTGACTTTGGACAAGTCACACCCTCTCTGAGTCTGTTTCCTCAGATGTCAAATGAGGGGATTGGACTAGATGATCGCTTTGATCTCTTCCAGGGCAGCTAGGTGGCGCCATAGGGCATAGAGTGCAGGGCCCGGAGTCAGAAAGATTCATTTTCTAGAGTTCAAATCAGGCTTCAGGCACATACTAGCTGTGTGACCCTGGGCAAGTCACTTAAACCTGTTTGCCTCAGTTTCCTCTTCTGCAAAATGAGCTGGAGAAGGAAGTGGTAAACCACTCCAGTATCTGTGTCAAGAAAACCCCAAACGGGGTCATGAAGAGTCAGACACAAACGAACGACAAATGATCTCTTCCATTTCTAACAACTGTAAGTCCACGAATTTGTCTAAGGTCACATTGTTAGGAAGTGAGACATTAACAAGTTTGAGATGACCAAGTTAAGTGCTGCCTCACCTGGACCATGCTATTCATCCCACAAGAGGCACGTCTCTCCTGCCTTTGCTTAGCTGTGGCCCAGGCCAATCTGTCTCAGGGTCCCCAGTGCAAGTTCTGGCTGCTGGCGTTGTCAACCCACCTAAAACAGAATTAATTAGGAAGCAGCGTCAGCAGCGGTGGGGATGGGGTGGAGGTAGAAAGGGAGCCCCTTCAATGTATTCCGAATTAGGATTATCCACTGTTTTGACCCCTTCCCCTGTTAGCACAGACAATAGTTCTATGCACACTTCCTAGTCTTTAAAGCCCATCTATTATTACTGCTGAATCATTCATGAATCATTGACTGGAGGGGCCAAGTTGTCCTAGAACCATGTTCCGATGTATCTTTCTCGTTATGGCTTCACGCTTCAAACCCATTTCCCTCCCCTACCCAATATCGCAAATTCAGACGTACCTTTTCCTGAGGCATCCCATGTCAGCTAAAAAAATTAATCGTAACTAACACGTACATAGCAACTTACAAAGGTTTACAAAGCAGTTTCACAATGGTACATAATCCCAAGTATTATTGTTTCCAGAGGCCCAGGAAAGTTAAGTGACTTTACTAAGGTCACACAGCTCCTCTGTGGCAGAGCCAGGACTGAACACCAGCTCCTCTGGCTCCAAAGCCAGTGTGCTTTGCACAGAATACCCTCTGTGAATGCAACATGGCACAGGTTGCCACGGGCTGGGTGAAGGGCGGAAGATCTACAAAGGAAATAAAGAAATAGCGTCTGCCCTCCAGGACATTCTGAACTAGCAGGAGACAATGGGGTACGGCTGGCTTTGGACTCTGAAGACCCAGGTTAGAGCCTCAGCTCTGCTATTCCTGTCTCTCTGACCACAAAGAAGACATTTTCCTCTTCTGAGCCTCTGTTTTTTTCTGTATCTGTAAAATGAGGAACCTGGCCTAGCTCACCTCTTACACTCTTTTCTAGCTCTAAGTCACATAGGAAATTATGTTCAACACCATGTTGAAGAATGCAGACCGTGGCACTTAGGTGGGGTGGTGGATAGATCTCCCGCCTTGGAGTCAGGAGGATCTGAGTTCAAATTTCACCTCAGACACTTGGCACTTACTAGCTGTGTGATCCTGGGAAAGTCATTTAACCCTGACTGCCTCACCAAAAAAAAGCCCCCCCAAAAATGCAGACCACCTACAATAAGAAACAAGAGAAATAGCATCCATGAGACTAGAAGCAACGATACAGAACTAAAAACTGTCTGTAATCGCTGGAGCGGCACAGTACCATGTTTTCCTGTGATGCTTTTCCCCATTGTACAGGCAGGAAAACTGAGGTGTAAGCAAAGAAAGATGACAAGGTAAAGGGAGGGAATAGGAGGAGGGTCCTGACCTATGAGTCCATTGATATAAGGGACTTCTGGAGAAGGAAATGCCTTCTCCCAATGCAGGTCAGCACTTTCTCTGTAACTTATAGTCTTGAGAGTTGATCATATAGGTAAGAGGCAGGATTTGAACCCAGGTCTTTCTGACTCTGAATAAGGCCAGCTTTCTGCTGCTCTACAAGAACTGATAAGATAGCAAAACGCCACTGGAAAGATGCCACTTGGTGGCCTGCCTCTGCTACTCCAGCCTAATCCTGAATTCTAACCAGGCTGGTTTCCTCACTCTCCCCTGCCTGCACCAGGTTCGTTCTTTCTGTTCTGCCTTTGTTCACACTGCTCCCTCACATCTCCATCTTCCCTCTCCCCCCTCCCCAACCCTTCCCTCCTTGTCCCTGTATCTCTGAGATTAAGTAAGAGGGAAGGGGAGATCACCGAAGAGTGATAATGCCCACCAGTCACTGAAAGAACTTGGGGTGGGGATGGGGGCACCCCTGGGCAGGCCCCTGCTGCCACAAAGCAGGGTCCAGAAGGAGCAAGGGGATGGCATGGCTCGAGGGGAAACAGCTGGGCAGAGTTCTGAACTTAGCATCTTGCAGTGATTGACAGCTCCCTGCTTGGGAGAGCTAAGCTGAGCAGAAAGGTTTTCTGGTTTTTCCCAAGGATCTCCCCACACACATACCACCAGCAGCCTTCCACCAGGCCCCTGTATGGCCTACCCCTTGCCCCGGAGTTGCTGTTCCTGGCACTCTGGGACAGAGCCCAGAGGGAGAAAGAGAGAAGCAGTAGATTTTAATGGGGGATTCTGGTAAACATTAAGGCATGAAGGTGGGCAGGCCAGAGTGGGCCAGGGGTCAGGGGAAATATTTTCCCAGAGCACATCATGGTAGAACACGAAAAGGGGGAGAGAAAGAAGAGGAGAGGGCTATGGTACTCTAATGGGGAAGGATGATAAATGGGGGCAGGGGTGGGAGGCAGAAAGAGAGGCAGAAAGAGGAAAGGGGAGGAGAAAGTCCCGGTTTTCTCTAGGGCCCCCCCCAGCAGAGGGGAGGGGGGCAAGTTGGGGCTCCTGCTTAATATGTGTGGCCTGCCTCGCCTCGGAAAGAACCCACAGTTGCAACTCATTAGAGGAGCAGATTAAGGACTTTGTAAATTACCACTAAAGGCTGCTTTGGGCAGATTAAAATGCTTTTTAAAAGTAGTGATGATGGGAGGGGGCGATTAAGAGGGGGAGAAAAAACCCTTGCAACAAATCCCTCTCCTCCCAGGCACAGGGAAGTATGCTGTGCGTTTCTCGTGAACAGCAGCCGGGAGCGAGGTGGGTAATTAGCCCGGGAGAGCTCAGAAGAGGATCAGCTCCTACATGCTGGCAGCTGTCGCCATCCGAGAAGTAGGCTGGCTTGGGTTTGTTCTCCCCCCTACCTCCACCTCCTCCTCTTCCTCTTCTTCCTTCTCCTCTTCCTCCCCCCTCCCCAAGCCCTGGATCACCTGGACGCAAGAGAGAGTGGAGGCTGTAGTCTGAGATTAGCTTCGTAGGGCCATCCATCCCCTGGGAGAAGGGGGGGTGGCGTTGTGGCTCTGAGCCAGGGCATCCTTAGGGAGAAGTCCCTTTGACCCAAGGGCAGGGGTGAGCCACGTCTGGAGACATTCCTGATGGGACCTGGACCAAGCCCTCAGAGATTTTCGTACTCCGGGGAGTGGTGCTGTGGGGCAGTATTAGATCTCTCCTGCCCCTCCCCTCCCCCTAATTTCGGGTTTCTGGGATTAATATCCCATCTCTGCTGGGGAGAGAGGTGGGAAGCAAAGAGGTAACAGAGAGCACTGGAGAGATACTGTCCACAGCTCATCAGAAACTGACTCACACTGCAGCTCCCCTTCCTGGAGCTTAGACCCCCTTTCTTTTAAGGTGACTTGAGCTGCTAGCTCTGGCTTAAGTTTTGGCAAATATTTGGGCTAGGATTTTCTTTTTTCTCCTCTCTCCAAAAAGACGGGGCTCAAGCTCCCCACAGCTGCCTTTTGTATGTTTTCTGAGGATCTTTGGTGGGTGATTTGTTTGCCGGCCTTGTCTTTGTTTTGGGCTTATTTGTTTTGTTTTGTTTTGTTTTTTAACCTGAGTTTCTCTGTTTTTGACCACCTAGGGCAGCAGAGAAAGCTGGGGGTGGAGGGAGGGAAAGAGGGAAGGAGAGGGAGGGGGAAAGAGAGAAAGGGAGAAAGGAGGGAGGGAGGGAGGGAGGGAGGGAGAGAGAGAGAGAGAGAGAGAGAGAGAGAGAGAGAGAGAGAGAGAGAGAGAGAGAGAGAGAGAGAGAGAGAGAGAGAGAGAGAGAGAGAGAGAGATGGAGCGAGGGAGAGGGTGACGGAGAGGGAGTGACAGAGGGAGGCTGACATGCCACAGGGTTGCATTAGAGCCAGCCAGGAAGAAGGGCAGGGAGAAGAAAGCTCAAATCCCTTTGCAAGATTCAGGTGGTTTCCTCTTCTGCATCTGTGTGTATCTAGATCCATTTCAAACATTTTTTTATACTGAGTCTTCCTAGAAGATGGTAAATGACAGATGGAAAGCCATGGGTGGAGCCCCTCAACTTGAAGACGGACAGCAGGAGAAATCCCAGGTAAAGGAAAAGAATGAAAAAAAGATCAGGGTGAAGAAGGGCGGGCATGTGGAAGGTAGAATCCATCACCCTCCAGAGACATGATATTAGGGAGATAAACAGAAGTCCTTTGGCAAAACCTCTCTTATTCCCCCCTCCCCTTCTATCATCTAGGCAGCAGCTGGAGAGTGAGAGCCGTGGAGTGCATGGTTGGCTTTTGACAGGCACGCGAACGAGGGGGGCTAGGTCCAGGGCATCTCGGCTGCGGAGTTGAGATGCAGTCCCAGATTTCTTCTCAGACTGCCAGACTTCTTGCCCCTGGGAGGGTACCTTTCATCGTCCCCTCTGTCACCGCTTGAGGGGACCTGGGAGGACAGTGGTGGCTGTCGGCAAATTGGCACTGAATTATTGAGTTTCTTTATTTTTCTGAGCGTGGCACCTTGGGTCTGTAGCGGGCTGGCTGAGGGGGAGGCAGCAGCAAACAGGTAAATAAACCCTGCACAGCCGCCTCTGAGTAACTGGAGCACATTGTAAACGCTTAAAGAACCTTTTAAATAGGATTTTGCATGTTGACTCCATGCTGCAGTGAGTTCTGTCTGGTTATTTGCAATCTTTGCTTCCTTTGTCCCATCTACTGAAATAATTCAGGTGCTCACTTAGACTTACTTATTAAGGGAACGTCTTGGGAAGAAGGAAGGGGTGGGATAGAGGGTAATGCCCACACTAGTGTGTATGTAGTTGTAAGGGCTGGGACACAGAAATGTGGGGGTACTGTGCTTGGTGGGTGAACTGCCACAGACACCAGCCTGTGTCCTGGATTGTGCCTGGACAGGAGCTGGCATTGTGATGCAGCTGGCGAGGTCAGGACATGACCTGTGAGCCACCTAGCCTGCAAACCATCCCAGAGGCTAGACTCTGGCTTGTCTGACATCCACTAGGGACCAAAGTCAACAGTGAACATGGGCACATACAATCCATTGGGCTGGTGGTGGTGGCACGGCTGGGGCAGAGAAGGAAGAATGAATGAAGAGAGAAGGATGGGTACCAGCTTTGGTTCAGGAAGAGCCAGATTGCTGAGGCTGGTGATCTGACTTGCCTCTAAGGCCAGGGAGGAAAGATTGGAGGACTTGGAAGCCCGAGCATAGCTTCTAAGGCTCCCCTCCTAACCCCACCTACTTGGGCCTCAATGAGAAATAACTCCCTAGCCACCACTTTCAAGAGCCCTTGTGTTGGAAACACCATCATCAGGGTCAGAACCTTGTCTATGGGTGAAACAGCATAGCACTATGACCGGAGTATTGAATTTGGAGTCAGAGGACCCAGGTTCAAATCTTTAGTCTGTTACTACCTGTGTGATTGTGGGCAACTCACTGCATCTCTCTGGGCCTCAGTTTCCTCATCTGTAAAATGAGTCATTTGGACCAATGCCTTGTAAAGTTCCTTCAGACTCTAAATTTATGATCCATTTTTATGATCTATTTCTCTGTCCTTGAATTGGGCTCAGTGGGACAGACAGAAGGTCATCTTGTCTTCCCCCCAAAATAAAACTTCCCCTTAATTGCTGCTATCCCAGAGCCCTTGGTGAGAGGGTTAGGAGCCTCCCTTGTGGAAAGGGGCCATCACCAGCCATCCTGGGGGGTCAGCCCTGCTCTTGCCTAATGCTGTCAAGCACTGTCAATGTGTATGTTAAGCCCGGTGCCACCTCAAATGGGCTTCTGTGCAGGTGCCCAGTTTGACAAAGAAGAGAAAAAAGCCAACATTTTAACATTTTAAAAATCTTATAGACATATGCCCATGGGGAGGACGAGAGGGAAGGGAAGCAGAGGGAGGGGAGATAGCTCCTGCTTGGAAATGGTGCACGCGCAGGAAGATGGGGGTTGCATCTCATTGCTACAGGCTGTTGGTTTTGGCTCCTTCTGGGGCTTTTTAGTTACAGTGTACAAAGGGCTGCCACATCCGTCTTCTCCATCTCATTCTCACCAAAGCCCTGTGAGGGCAGAGATGGGTGGGCAAAGATCCTTGACCCCATTTTAAAGAAGAGAAACTGAGGCCCAGAAAAGTTAAGTGATCCACCTAAGGTCATAGAGCTTATTTACTATGAGAAGTAGGACTAAAACCCCAGGTTTTCTGACTCAGACTCACCCTCTCTACCCCATACCACCCTATCGAAAGGAGGAGGAGGGGAGAGGCTAACGATCAGCAGTCCTTGCTGTGAACCCTGATTATTCCTGTATTCTCCCTGTATTTTTCTGTTATGTCTTTGGGCCAAACCAAAGGAATCCCAGAATCCTGGAGCTGGAAGGGACCTTAAAGGTCATCACGTCCAGTCCCCTGACTGATGGAGGAATCCCTCCCCCATAGAAGTCCTGACAAATGGTTATCTAGCTTTGACTTGAATAATTCCAATAACAGCTGCCATATTTAGAGAGCTTTAAGATGGATGCTTTGCATATATTATCCCACTTCAACCATACAACAGCCCTGGAGGAGAGGGTGCTATCATCCCTATTTTACAGATGAGAAAACTAAGGCTCAGAGAGGTTAGGATTGGAGCCCAGCTCTTCCTGGCTCCGTGTTCAGATCTTTCTCAGTCACGTCACGCATTCTGTCAGACAGCTTTCACTGTTAGTAAATGCTCCCTCCCGTGATCCTAAATCTACCTCCCCTAACTTCCACGGGTTGGTCCTAGCTCTTCTGTACTGGAGCTACACAGAGGCAGCCAATCAAGTCCATCCTCTGACCTTTGGGCAAAGCCACAATAAAACCATCCCCAGACTGATGAGGCTCTCCTTCTGAGAACCCATGCCCTCCCTGGGGGGACCTACTCCAGGGGTCAAGAGGGCTCTAAAGATACAAAATACATCAAGAAATACATCAAGGGTCCTTTTTATTGCCTTCTTTTTAGAGTTGGGTGACTTTGGTGGTTGTGCTGTTTGAAATTCAACTCCTCGGACCCGGGGGGGGGGTTGGGGCCTCCTAGAGCTGTTCCCTGGGGGTACAGACTCCAGCTGCTCACAAAAGCAGAGGCCCAGCTGTCTTCCCCCTGGCAAATGAGCACAGCCAGGCTTCATGCTCTCTCTGGGGGCCTGAGCTTTGGCCACCACCCCTAGCTTCCTTGTCTTCTCTAGCGGACAGTGTAGGGGAGCCCAAAGACACAGGGGAAGGAAGACTGAACCAGGGGCCTCCAGGATGCCTGTCAGAGTCCTGACTCGGCAGTTTGCCAGCTACTTGACCTCACCTGAGTCACTTTCCCCCTCTAGGCTCTGTGTCTACATCTGTCTGCATACGGCCCTCCCTTAGCATCTCACTAGCTGGCTCTGAAACTCCAGGCAGAAAGGAAGGAAGGAAACAAGCATAGACAAAGCACCTACTATGTGCCAGGCACTGGGCTAGGCACTTTACAAATATTCTGTCATTAGGATCATTTGATCCTCACAACAACCCTGGGAGGTAGGTCCTATTATTCTTCCCGTTTTTACAGTTGAGGAAACTGAAGCAAACTGAGGTTAAAATGTGGCTTGCCCAGAGTCCTATGGCTAGTTAAGTGTCTGAGGCTGGATTTGAACTCAGATCTTCTTGACTCATAGGACAGCAAGTTAGCACAGTGGATAGAACACCAGGCCTGGAGTGAGGAAGACCTGAGTTCAAATTCAGCCTCAGTTGCTAGCAGTGTGACCCTTGGCAAGTTACTTAACCTTGTTTGCCTCCGTTTCCTCATCTGTAAAATGAGCTGGAGAAGGAAATGGCAAACCACTCCAGTATCTTTGCCAAGAAAACCCCAAATGAGGTCTGAAAGAGTCAGACATGGCTGAAACAACTTAGCAACAAATTCCTGCCTCCAGACCCAGTGCTCTATCCACTGCACCACCTCACAGACTAGGAGAGAAGGCAAAGGCTTGTGCCCATGTGTCCAGACCTAGGGCAATGTGTTCGAAATGGAAAATGTCAGAGAAACTTTCTGTGCTGATCTGCACGTCCGCCCAAACCTCCCACCCCCAGTGTTCATAAGACTTTAGAGAAATCCGAAGTAACTCCTTATCAGAAATAGGTTGGAGGTTTGTCATCTCTGAACCATCCAGGGCAAACTTCTCCCAACCCTCCCAGGTAATTTACTGGCTCGTTTGTTCCCCTGGACATTTTTCCGGACACCCAACCTTGATCTCTCCTGTTTTCATTTATGCCACTTTTCTCTTTCTGGGGTTCATCTCCTCTACCTCTGGAGCTAAAGGGGCTTTTTCCCTTTAGTCCACCTCATATGAAGATCAACGAAAAGAGCTGGAGAAGGGAAGATTTAGGAGGATCATGATCACTGTCTTAAGGTATTTGAAAGACTGTCACATAGAAGGAGACCCAGATGGCCCAAATGGAAGCAATCAATCAATAACTATTTATGGAGTGTGTCGGGCACTCTGCTAAGCACTGAGGATATTGGGGTGGGGAAGGCAAGACTGACCCCTGCCCTCAAGGAGCTTTCATCCAAATGGGGGAAGACAACATGTACAGAAATACATACAAAGCAGATTCAAGGTGACCTCAGTGGGGAAGGCACCTGCTGCTGAGGGGACCGGGAAAGGCCTCCTGACGGAAGTGATGTATGGGAAGACTGGAAAGACAGGAATGGGCCTGGTCATGAAAGGCTCTAAATGCCAAAGGAGGCTATACTTGCCCTCAGGGGTAATTGGTCAGGCTCATGCTTTGGGAAAATCACTTTGGCATCAAAGTGAAGGATAGATTGGGTCAGGGAGGGACTTGAGGCAGGGAGACACATTTGGAGGCTAGTGCAATCAGCCCAGTTCATAGGGAATGAGGCTGAGTTGAGCTGGTGGCTATCTGAGTGGAGAGAAGGGGTCACATTAAGAGATGCTGTAAAAATAGAAATGATATGACTTAACAAACGATCATGAGGGGAATGAGAGGGAAGAATTGAAGATGATTCCAGGGTTGTGAATCTGGGTGATTGGAAGGATAGTGGGGCCCTCAACAGTTATGAGGAATAGCTTTGGGGGGTTGGGGTGGAAGAC